TGGAGAGCACTCTTTGCCCTTTTGAAGCTTTCTCACGCTATAAAAGAGAAGAATTTCATGCAAATAGTATTTAATGCCAAATATAGAAACAATTCTTAAAGCAAAGTCACGTTCCTTACACTATTAAATTAACCAGTGCCAATTATATTACTTTGCTGCTACTCTTAAAGTTTCTTTTCCCAAAAATCTTCAATATTTTCATGCACTACAAGAGTCTTTCTTATTTTTGTCAATGGATATAAAGTATCTAAAATATACTCTCATACATCAAAAGTATGGTGAATTATTTCAGTCCAGGATCGCACAGATATGTGAACAGCGAATGCCAATTGAAATTATAGCCTACCGTCAGTGCTATAATTGAAAGAAACAACTGCATTTCACATTAAAGTAAAGAAATAACTCTCATGATTAGATGCTGATAAAATATCAAAAAATATACTGTGGAGAAGTAGACTTTAAAATTATAGTATATCGTAAATAATAATGAATTATTTCTATTTCCCTGTCTGTAAACTGATAGTCATTATGAATTTGCAAAACCTCAAGTCATTTTGTGCTACTTCCACTCTGCCTTTATCTCCATGAACTACACATTTTGAGAAATACTGTAAAATACAATTTCCAAGGGACCAGAATGGGGAATACCTACTATTTACTAATAAAATAGCCATAAGAATAGACTGAACAGGATAGCGTTATAAGTTTGGCTTCCAGAACGGTTTCCATAAAACAGCAAAGAAGAAAAAAATGAACACATTTTTTTTTTCTTTTGCAAAGTAAAAACATCATATAGAAAACAGAATAATTAACTAGAGTTGTCTGCTTGAAGTCTTAAAGTAATTCAGCTTCATTGTACACAGAGTGTAATAACCAAAAGTTTATGGTACCAACTGATTAGGTACTTGCTCATAAATCACAACCTCCATTCACCACCCCTTTATAAAACTGGCATTAAAATGTCATAAAAATTATATACCGTTCATGTTTTGCAGCTTCCTAAAAAGACCATTTATAAGGTCACAATTGAAAAACAGTGTTCATGATGTGTGAAACGTAATGCATTGTCAAATGTTATATATTTAAATATGTAATACATTTAAATTTATACATTTAAATATACATTTACATTTTAATATGCCAATTAAAACAATTATTTTATTATGAAAGAATTCTTTTATTAAGTTTTAAGGATTGTTAGCATAATGAGATGCATATAGAAAATAATTTTATAAAAACTGAGAAGATAAGTATTCAAGATTTGAGATTAATTCCATCTCTACACTCAATTTTCAGGCTGAAGTTCCTAGAGTGGCAATGAAATTGCTACTGAACACTAATACTAAGCTTGATGTAAGATTTTTGTTTTATATTTTGCAGATATTACACAAATTATATACCAGAAAGAAAAAAGGATTTAGTCCTAAATCCTTATTATAATAGAATTACTCACTCAAAGGTATTTTATTTATTTTTACTGTCTTCTGGAATTGTGGGGAAAAAAATCCTAAACTTTTTCCATAGTTTCCTCATATGCAAGTATGCTGAGCAGCTGGGTTTTTCTCCTCATTTAAAAAATTTTACCTTAGCATAGTGGTACTTGGTATTACTATATATTCTTTTTGTTTTATTAAGGAATATACAAAAGCGTTCCATTTAGATATTATGCTATCTTATGTTTAACATAGGTATGTAACTTCAAGTGGAAAGGCTTTAACTCTTAAGTAAAAAATTTCCTTAATTTTTTTAGTAACATTTTGGGATCTTTTGGGAGTGGATTTTTCTCTCTCCTTTTGTCCATTAATCTATAATGATTGCATAACCATAATGAAAGTCATCTGCATAATTTTTAATTATATATCATATGATTATATTTTAAAGTCATCAGTATAAGTAGTGTGTTCTATAAATCCTTTTTTTTTTGTATGAAAAACAGCCTTTCTAAAAGTAAAAAGGT